GTGTTTGTGCATTAGGTGATAGTGGACGGCTGAAGGTCATGAATTCAATTTCGTAATGATTGAACAGATCAGTGACATCCAAAGTTGTATTAATATGTTCCTTGCCCCCAAGGGGATCACGTGGCTAAGTGGGTAAGGCGCTGGCTCGCTAGCCTGGAGGTCGGGTGTTCGATCCCTGCATTGGCCGAGAAAGTCCATCTCGACTTTCCGGCGTGGTTTCCCCTTGTCAGTGATGCAGAACGGAGGGCCTGACAAGGACAGCTGCCTAGTCGTTCGGATGGTACGAAAAACCGAGGTCCCATGTACACATTGGCGTGCACGTAAAAGATCCCTTGGCAGTTGGAATTCGATATAAGAGTAGGCCGTAGCGCCGCTGCCCGGGCAAAATTTCCCTCATAGCACACTGTATGGCGTATGCCCGTCTTCAATTAGCCCAGGTTAGGTGCAGATGAGTAGGACGTTAAACCCCATTTCATTTCATTTCATTTCCTTGCCCCCAAAAACCTGGGAATAGGTATCAAGATCATCAAATTTGGGCCAATAGTTATGGACTTGCGGTCATTTGGAGGTGTTGGCGGCCATTTTTGACATAGATGGCCAACATCATTTTTAATGATCTTAATGAGTTTGCACCCCCCCACCCCCCGAAAAAAAAATAAAACGTAGGAATAGACCCCAAGATCATCAAATTTGAGTTGATAGATACATAATTATGAACATTAAGACGTTTCGGTGACCATCTTTGACGTCATCTTGAAGAAAAACTCTGGTAAACTTTGAGTATGTTATAAAGTACACTAAACCCTGCCAGAATCAGTTGCCCCCCCCCCCTCCTTAATGTAAGGACCCTGGCTTTTGGCCAGAACAGTAATAGGTGTAATCTGGCCATACCTGGAAGGGAAACATGATTATGATCAAAAGGGTGGCAAGGGATGACTTGCTACTCAAGCACTAACCAGTTTGCAACCCTTGAAAAACCTATGGTGATGGTTGATTGCCTCTATGCACATTTCCTAATGGTACTTGATCCCAAAGGTGCTCGATTGACACTATGGTGGAGGAAATTTATGGTCATATCATCTGTGTAACATTGTGTATTACTGTTGATAGTAATGTATCCTGCGTTGGAAATAAAATCAAGTCCACGGTAAATCTGGACATAAGAAACATCACATGTAGTTAACTATTGTTTTTAGAGTATTTATATCATTTTGTTTAAATATCTTTACAACAATTTCACATTCAAAGTAAAATCTACAAATTCATGATTGGTTTGACTGAGACATATATTTTATACCATGCATAATTATTTTTAAAAAAAACAAAAAAAACCATACAGATCCTTGTCGAATAGTTTTAATAATTATATTGAGGATTTAAAATGTATAAATTACACACTGATCCATGGCTATAAATTACACTAGTTTTAATGTGTATCAACATAACAATCACTATGCTGACCCATGGTCAAATTTTACTTGATTTAATGATGTATCAATTACATTTACAGATCCATGACTACAAATTAAGGCTGGTTTTAATAACTGGATATCCATGGCTACACATTTCACTGGTTTTAGTACGATACATACAGATCAATGTGCAAAATCATAATGGTTTTAATGTATCAATTACATTAACAAATCCTTGACTACAAATAACACTGGTTTTAATAATTGGATATATATCCATGGTTACAAATTTCACTGGTTTTAATAAGATACATACAGATCTAAAGAGATTGAAATTTTCAGGTTTTTCATTAAATACAATTTAATAAGTTATTCAACACTTCAGACCCATAACAAGCATAAACATATGTCTACTACATGTACTTTAAACTCATAAAACGAATATAACACAATCACATTCATTCATTTTATTTTACTGTTGGGCTATTTACCTTAAAGCGATAATTTCATATTTTCTAAGAAAGTCAAAACATAATTATTTCTATGTCTTTTGCTCAATAGGTTGTCAACTCACTATTATACGATCATAGGTATTATTTTCCCACTTAAAAAACCTTTAACCCCGGAAATAATAACACAATTACCTCCCTTGTTTTTCTATCTCTCTCTCCCCCCCCCCCCATGGAATAGCTATCTTCATACGTTTGAATTTAAAGTTGAAAATGATATTTTTGCCAATTTCTCAACTGGCAATAGTGAATTATAGGATTAATAGGATTATTCTTTAACAAGGTAGGACTGTTTATAGATACCATTAATTTAAGGCTTTATTTTAATAAATTTTAAAAATATGAAATTACAACTTTAACATCTTTGAAAAGAAAATCAGTTTTCCCCTATAACTAAAACCAGTGACTAATACCATTCAAATTTGTTGTTTTTTTGTAACTTTAAAAAACCTAAATCCTTTACAAAGAATGAAGGAACTTATGAGTTTTACATCCAACAGGGTTATTTGACAGGCTTTTCACATGATCTAAAAACTGTTAGTGCTGCTGTTTATTTTAATTTAAAAGGCACAAAATATGTAAAGTCACTATTTTACTGAATGTTGAGCACTCTACAAAGTGGAAAGTCCGGGGGAAATTGCTCCGTCAAAACCGGAATCAAATTCCTGGTTAATGAGCTGGTGCCATACTCCTTGAGCCACTGTGGCTCATTAAAAGAGGTGGTTGAAAATGTAATTATTGGGTAAGGATGGCAGTATAACATGACTATCAACAAACAGCTCCACGACTGAGTATTCTTTAATCTGGGCTTACATACCGGTATATGGTTTTAACATTATTCATACTAATTTAATTAATCTCTAAACTTTGTACATTTTGTTTAAAAATTGTAATCCCAGACAGACTAGGCATCATCTATTCTGCTCTATCCTTTATTTTTATCTTTGTTTTTATTTTCTTTTGCCTGTTTTAAATAAAACAAGATGAATTTTTTTCTATGAAACTAAAAATCAGAATGGATACTAGTCTCTATTTTTAATTCAATATATATATATATATACACCCTTAGATCTACCACATTCTTAAATCGTTAATTCGTTAATAAATAAATCTAAATCCAAAAATGTTTTGGGTTTATAAAAAGACAGAATATGACTAGATACAAAAAGCACAATCAACTATCATTACGTACATTAGACATTACAAGTAACAACATGGTCACTTCATTTATAAGTAACTTAAAATAAAATAAAAATTCATAAGCACCCAAATTTGATGCACAAAACTTCCTTTGAAGGGACAACAAACTGAAAAAAAAAACTCTACAGGCAGTGTATGTTCAACTTACAGATCTGATATGGTATAGTTGGTATGGTGTAATCACACCAAAATGTTTGTTCAAATCAATCAACTATAACTGAGGTTATTGCCGTTTGAAATTTACATCACTGCATGCAGTTTCTCACTGGTATGCGTTTGAGGTAAATAAAGTAATAATATATCTGTCTTATCAGTTCATATCTATTTACATAGGTTTTCTTAATTAGATAAGATAGGTGTGTCTAATTACAGTAAAATAACAGATTTTATATAAGAACTTTTTATGCTTGCATGTGCTTATTAAAACCATTAATAAAACCATTGCAGTAAAAGAGAATATATTTTGTATTTTATAAAACATTTTTAGTTAATCTGGTGTGTTGTCCCTTAACTGAAAATAATCTACTAAAAGAAGTTAATGAACAACAAGTTTGTGAATTTGTAAAGATAGTACAACTGACATCATGCATTAGTAGAGCCTTTTTTGCATGTTTTGCGTCAGTTCAATATTCTATGAAGCGATGTTTATTTTACAAATAAATACCAACCAATATATTATTCTATATCAAAAACATCAATGACATATATATATATATATACATAATCTCTATTCAAATTCTAAAGATATCTACTTCTATTAATACTACTTTATATCATGGTGTATAACACAGGGATCGTACATAAACAAAGTTTACTAACTTAATAGTTTTACATATATGGTATTGTTACAACATTCAAATCTGAATATATATCATAATAGTGAGATTAGTTTTCATTTAATTCTTGATTTTAAAAAATAAAAACGAGTGTTTAACAAAAACAATATATATTTGGCTTTCTTATATAATTCAAGTGTAATTAACTTTAAATATCTGAATTAAAGATGCATTATGTAAGATTTAGATACAGAGCAGGCCATTCTTGCTGTAATAGTTTTAAAATGAACATTTGAAGTTAGAAAAATTACCTTCAATAGTCAGAAATAGCTCTTAAATAATGCATCTTTAAGATTTCTCAGTCAGATATTTTGAATGCCAGCCAAACATTAGTTATGGTTTTATACTTATAATATTGTTATGGTATATACAATAACTGACTGGATTTCACAACAACAATCTTAAAGCAAAGTAAATGGAAGATTTCTACATGATTTATAACTTTATACATGACAAATTTATGTATGAATATTCTAGATGGGGGATATCTCTCTACAACCCACCATAAAATATTAAACAACATTAATTCTAGATGGTGGCACCATTCTAGATGGGTGATACCTTTCTACATGATGCCTTTATAGATTGAATGATATTTTAGGCAAATGACACACAGTACCATTCTAGATGGGTGATACCTTTGAGGTAAATGATATTTCAGATACACGATACGATTCTGGTTTGTATAGTTTCTGATAGGTGATACCATATTCTAGATGGATGATACTATATTCTAGATAGATGACACCATATTCTAGATGGATGATCCCATTCTTGATGTATTACTTCATTCTAAATACATGGTCCATGGGTGATATCATTCAAAATAATAACAAATGATATACAAGATGAATGATACCATTCTATTTAACTCTATACTACTTGATGACGACATTATTCATGAGCCATTTTATTATAGATAGATGAATGACATCAGTGAAGACCATTCTTGTTGAAAAATAAAATTTGATGGATGTTACAGGAATAAAATACAATATGGGAGATTCTGAGACATTTTAACTTATGTGTATTAATAAATGTAGGTGTTCTATTTTTTTTTTTTTTTTGATTTAAATAATGGTGATAAGTGATGCCATTCTAGATAAGTGATACACACACCAATGGGTGATTTCTAAAATTTTAAGCATTCAATTAACTAAATGGGTGCTATTATGTGGGTGATACCAATGGAGGATAATGAATTTTTCTTAAACTACATGAATAAGTAAATGAATAATCCTAACTTAATACTATTCTATATGGATGATACCATTACATATGGGTAATACTATTCTAATTATTCATATCATTCAAGATGTGTGTTCAGATCTGATCATTCCAAGATCTTAAACAAATAGTAATATATTATATTCTAAATGTAGTACACAATTTAATATCAATTATATAATAATAATGGCCGATACTGTACTTGATATCAATTATATAATAATAAATGACTGATACTGGCCTTGATATCAATTATATAATAATAAATGACTGATACTGTCCTTGATTTTAATTATGTAATAATAAATGACTGAATCGGTCTTTTATGTCAATTATGTAATAACAAATGACTGATACTATCCTTGATATCAATTATATAATGATAAATGACTGAACCAGTCCTTAATATCAATTATGTAATAACAAATGACTGATACTGTCCTAGATATCAATTATTTAATAAAAAATGACTCACAGTGTACTAGATATCAATACCGTAATAACAAATGACAGATATTGTCTTACCACTGTCTACTGTTTTGCACCGATTTGGCTAATGAAGATGGGCTGCCCTACTAACTTAAGGCTATAATTTGAAATATCAAAAAATACTGCATACATATATATAATTGAAGATTTTATACACAAATGGAATTTAATGGAATGGTAAAACTTCTCTTATTATTTTTTATAAATTTATTGTTAGAGGGTAATATAACTATGGCAGGTTTGGTTGCATGAGTTAATTCAGATTTTTTCAACCAAATTCAAACTACCAGTATATATGCCAAGTTTTCCTGGTTAGTTGAATGACAATATTTATAACTGTATCTACCCCTATACAGTATTCTTGTTGTTTATGCAAATTAATATCATCTCTAGAATGTGGGTCAATTTTTAAGATAGTGATTTAGCACCATCTGGTGTCATTCTGATGATTTAACATAAGCATACATTAAAAAGGAAGTGACATAAGAACTAAGATGTAAACTGGTTGACTTCCTACATGCATTTAGTTTTGAAAATAAATGTAGAATAACATAATTTCATTAGCTAGTGAAAAATAGGTTCAGGTGTTTTAGAAACTGTGCATATCCTGCTTCATGCACAACATTTGTCACTACTTATAGCTAACTGGTCCTTAACATTCCAGATAAGGGATAAGTATTTATTTTATTTGAATGCCATTAGACTTGAGGTAATAGGATCACATTTCTGTGAGACTATTTGGGATATACTATTCCATTTGGAAAAGCCCATTCCAGTTGGAGGATCCAATTCCATTATGGTAATACCATATATAACCGTGTCATTCATATATTAAATATAATTTAAATAATTAAAACTAACAAATGCATAAATATTTGAAGTGACTCTTTCTGATTTATGTAAAAAAACAAAACCCAATCAAATATCGATTTTATCACATAATATGTTTACAGATCTAATTCTTAAATAAAAACTTTGTGCCATTCATTAAGCCAACATTCAGACACATTTGAGATATTTTTCATCTTACATCTGTTGTAATGGTTATATGAAATGATGGTGTCACAAATCTATTCAGAATACCATATCATTATGATAAAATCAATAAATTTGAAAGAGTACCTTTAAACAATGTAAAGCCTTTTGGTTGGGTATTTTTTTTAGTTTTGATCTGATGATGTGTACATTTTAAAAAACAAAAAAAAACAAAATCAAATAAATAAAAACAATAAGATCAACAAGTACATCATGGGGTCGGTCCGCCATTCGATGTGCCGTGACTATTTTCACGATGCCGTACAACAGTTCCGTTTGTTGAATTCTTCATATGGCCCGTTAATTCTTTCCGTTTTAATGTTGATTTCCCTGATTTGCGTGATTTACCATTACTAAGGTTAACGTTTTTCTGATCTTTAACAATTGATTCATCCTCATCTTCACTCATCTAAGAAAAATGGAAAAAAATCAATGAAGGAATTAAAATGAAATTCGGAACTAACAGAAGCTTATGAGAGATTATAGGAGTTTAGAGAAGATTCAAGACTGATTCAAACTGGCAAGACCTGATTGAAATATTGGTTGAATTAAACATAATTTGGATCTTTCAAACAATAATATTAATTTGTTGAACAAAATTGTCATTTGATTGACAGAAATTAGATTCATTCTTCTTCAGTACTCAATTCTGAATATCCACGAATATGCAACACGCAATGAAATGCATACATCTTCTATGAAAATCTTAGTTGAATGTCTGAGATACAATTTGATCAAAGCCTGTGGGAATCACTTCTTAAATGTCTCAGCTGTGATTTATTAAAAAAAAAAAGATTCAGTCTGATTGGGTCCTGCTTGTTGTGATGCATGCCTACTTTTTGCTATATCTTTCTCTTTATCATTATATCATGAGTTATTATTCAACTGGAGGAATATAACAAAACAATAGCGCTCCAGAACTGCCAAGGTCTTCACTCTCATCTGTTGGATGTAAATGAATATTGTATGCAGGACTAGTAATACAGGTGTGTCAAGTCAATGGAATAAGAAACTAAGGTCTTGGTAATGCATGTAAAAATATTTTCGATGGATCAGTTCCTAAGAAGTGCAGTTTGTTACATTGAGGATTGACTGAGTTCTCCTTCCTGGCTTCAAATGTAATAAACAGAACAATCATAAGTGGTGCTCGATTGTCACAGTTGTCACAGTTCTCTCAGTCCCGACAACGGAGGTGGTGTAAATAGAATCGTGACATAATTAAACCTAATGAACATGTTTCAACTGACATGGTTGGTTGAGATATGCGTTCTAGCCCAAAATCCCATTTTCACCCAATTGTCACTACTTTGGGGTTTGACAGAATTAAATTCCGGAACGTTCAATCGCGCATCCCCATAGTGTACCGATTTAAATACTGATTTTATATTAAATTTTGTTTTTTTTTACAGTAACTGGTATTATTAAAGTGTTTGAAGTAGTATAAATATCAGTATCAATGATTAACAACATGTAGTAATGGAATACCTGTTTATGATTAGCCTACCTTCCATTTCTCCAAATATCTTCCATATCTAGCACTAGCAAATATACAGATAAAACTACCAATCATCTGTAAAATAACAACAAAATTATACATCAGTTATTTTGATTGCGACCATATATAGGCGGCATGACAGAAGACCAATAAAAATTTTCATGAATTAAAATTAATCACAGGGTAGACAGACGTTTCAGTGATAGAGGTTAGGTAAATAGGTGGTAACAACTGGTGCTAAGAGGAGCTAATTGGTTAGAGCTAGGGCTAAAAACCTTTATGGTTGAGGATTCATAGATTCAATCACAAGGGTTCACATATTGTTTTTACTTAAAGAAGCCAAGTCGCTAACTCAATATCATCCACAGTCTTTGACATTGCAAACATAAATTATTGGTCAATTTTTAATCATAAATTATTGGTCAATTTAAATCAACATTGATGTTGTCATCTTACTGTGAAAAGATGGGCTACTGATATCCAATATTTAAGACAAAATGAACATTTTAAAATTGGCATAAAAATCGTGTGCCAGAATGCTTTTGAGTGCCATTTGTAACGAAGCGACTCGATGAATGAGGCTAAACATACCCCACAGGAGAATACTATTGGTGTAGTCTGGGATAACCAGACGCCAAAGACAGCCATTTATTTGGACACTTCGCATATTTCATCGAACATAACTGATTAGAAATTACAGTTTATATCCATTCATATTATATTATTATATGCATTGTGACCTATTTCTGTCCATTTCTAGGTGCCAAAGAATAGAGATTTATCACCTTTAAGATAGTAATTTAGAAGAATAAAACAAAATGAAATTAAACTTAACGTCCTACTGAGTGCAGTTATTGTCGATTGCAGAACAGTGTAATCACCATTGTCATTTCGATAATAAACAAAGTCTTGATTTTTCATGTTTAAATTAAATCATTAATAGCCAATCGTATTTAAATATGTTGAAAATCTAGAGCATCCTATGGCATTGAAAGTGGATTAGGGTCTTGACAATTTAATAAATATCTAATTAATAAATCATATAACATTTAAGGCCTAAAGAAAGACCTGGCAGATTTAGCTCTATTTGGAGCACTATCAACTTCCTTCAGGGCTAAATAAGGTCTCCCTTCAACTTTATGTAATTTTTTAATTATGTAGTGATGGAATTTGAAATACAAATGCCAATATAATGGAACATACAGCTATGTCTTACATATATTATATTTTATATGACCTAACAATGGACATTTTTCCTTTACCTATTTAAAGGGAGATCATCAATAGACACATACCTGTGTTACAATCCAGTATATAACATATGTGTATTCTGTCTGTTTAAATAATTCTAAACCAAATTTTATACAAACACATGTCTCTGTTAGAGTTATTGCACTGAAAAAGAGTATTATATCAAACACGTGTAACAAGAGTACATTAAATAACTCAATAACGTTTAATCTTTATTCAAATTGTTTCTTAAATGTTTTAAAATTAATGATACTGCAACATATAAATTGTATCCAAGTTACTTTCATAATTCATATCATCATATAATTACATTCAACTATCAATTTGAATTACATTTTTTTTAATGGTACTAAAAAAAAAAGAATCATCTTTCCTAAAAATAAGTTTTCCAATTTTAGTCAATGTCAACATCCATGAAAATAGAGCTATCAAAGAATAAAGAAAGAATTAGACAAAAAACTCACAGAAATTGTAGAAAGATTAAGTTATAACATTTATACTTACCAAAATATCCAACATTGTGTCCCCACCCTCTTACACTGAGTATCTGTTACATACACATAATACTGTCTGCAATAATAATAACAAATATTTCTTCAAGCCTCAATGCATCATTTTTCTTACTTCAATATATCGTAAAGAGTGTTCATCAGATAGTAATAGTAATAAAGACGATAAAATTAAACAAAAGACCTTTTAGGGGCTATAACTATGTTAAAATATTTTATTCCACAAAAAGATAGACTAAAGATTTAAAAAATATAACCCTTCATCAAGGTACTCAATAATGCAGAAAACAACTCGTTTAACCAGATCACAAAAGTTCCTACTATATTTTGTAGTGAGCTAATCATAAATGTTTTATAGTGCACAATTTGTAATCCTTTGAACACAAGTGGTCAAATTCCCACAATACGACTGACATTTGTTTACATGAAGACATGGGTACAATTGTCACCATAATGAGGAATCTTGCAGACCAACCAATATTACAACGTTGTAGTGCCCACAATATGAGCACCGGTTACCTGTATTGTGTCTTTAATTCCAATGTTAAATTTTTTTCTAATCACACCCAAATAATAATAATTGGCCGGATATATAAGAACAAATTGTCTAATAAAATAGTTGACTAAAGAATGTAAACACCTATTGTAATGGATGCTAACCTGATAGATGGTGCTGATATAAGACAGATTAATACAAGACGAATTGCGTTTAACATGTGAGGAGGAGGAACCATAAAAACATGCTTCAGAAAAAATGTATTCAGTTCCACCAGCTGAAATAAACAGTAACATTTACAGGTATACAGAACTTAATGAGGATAAGAGTAACCTCCCCTTTTTAATATCTAAACTCTGATTCTATTTCATATCACTTTCTCCAAATATCATGTACTGCCATGATTGAGATTTTTGAGTAATAGTTATAAACTTGTTATAATTGTTCAGTTGGTAATTTAATAAGGATAAATTCTATGAAGATTGAGTCAGTGCCATTGAATTGAAACCCTTTTAAATAGAGTTATTGCTTCTTCAACTGACATCACAAGATACTTATTTCAAAAAGCTTCTAGAGAGCATATATTATTCAATGCAGATGCGACTAATGTTCAATTCTGTTTGAGAATGTAGAAAGATTAAAGTATTGAGATATTAAGTTTAGTAATATCCTAGTTAATGTACATTAATATGATAGAGACTATTCACACACGATTTTGCAAGCTAGAATAGAACATTTAGTCTATTATTAGTTGTTTATGATGTCAGTAGTTTGGGAATAAGTAATTAAAAGCCATCTTGGACAAAACAGAATCTGATGAACTCCAAATGTATGAGGAATTTAACATGTACTGTTAATAAATCCTTGAAATGTTCAGACAAATTTACCTACTGACTACGGTGAATCAATCGACAGAGACTACTGACCTGGAAAAATACTATTAACATCCAGACAGCTATAATTCTCATCTTGGTAGAGTTTGGATCAAGCCATCGTACATGGGTCCAACTGAAAGAATATAACACACAATACATGTAATCATTTATTAGAATAAAAATCCAAGACTGTGATGAATTGATGCCTTACTGAAAGAAGAATCCCTGTACAGTGCAGGCAAGATTGGATCTCAGTGATATGGTTGGGGACTCAAAGTAAAATAATAAAGTAATAGCAGCTGATAAAAGGTAAGCTCCCAAAATGCATCCTGAATTCAAACTACCCTACTTCAACTATGCAGTGTAAGTAGAACAGTTGATAAAGGGCAAGCACCAGGACTCGCCCCGGATTCAAACTACTTTACTTCTACTATCAGTCTTGTCATGTTCGTTGCTTGGGAAATATTACCTTTAAGTTATTATTTATGAGAATAGATGCATTTCCAATATCTTGTATCTTGGACATGCAAAATATACATTTTATGATTTTTATGTTCTTTTGCCATGATTACTTAATTCCTTGCTTAATGGATAGAAATAATTCCAATAAATATAACAGTCTCCTTACCTGACTGGTGTGAATTGTAATACAGCTCTACGTAATTTACCAGTAGCAGAATGAATGTCTCTAAAATAAAAAAGAAATAAAGTCATACATCAAATGTAATTCTACGTAAACATTGAAACAGAGTAGCTATTTAGAATAATCATAAATGATAAATGATACATAACTCAAATTTCGGACAGAAAGTAAATAGTATAAAAGTATGTAATACCAAGGTTGTGGACCCATCAGATCACAATTTTTATCCGATTTTGATGAAACGTAAAATATACATGTATGTTTATATCCAAAAGATCTCTCATCTCAGTTCCTTTGGATATTCACACATATTAGAACATAAGTTCCTGGATTATGGCCCCTGATTGTACGAAAAATCACATTTTTAGCTTGAGGGATCTCCCAATTTTAAAAACCATTTAAATATATCACTGTTGCACCATAATGAAGGTTGAATTCAAATTTCGGCAAAATCGAAACGAAAATGCCCGACAAAATGGACGCTCCCTGTACGCAAATTGTGTAAATGTACTTAAAATACGAAGGTTGTGGATCCTCTAGAGATCAAAATTTTTGTCCAATTTTGATGAAACTTAAAACATGTCTTCATATCCCAAAGATCTCAGTCCCTTGCTATATTCACACACTTCAGACAATAACGTCCTGGATTATGGCCCCTGATTGTAAAAAAAATAGGGTTTATTTTTTAGCTTGTTCTCTATCCATCTCTGCGGATCACGGTGGCTAAGTGAGTAAGATGCTGGCTCGCTAACCTGGAGGTCGGGTGTTCGATCCCTGCATTGGCCGAGAAAGTTCACCCAGATTTTCCGCCCCCTTGTCAGTGATGCAGGACGGAGGGCCTGACAAGGACAGCTGTCTAGTCATTCGGATGTAAAAGATCCCTTGACAATTGGAATTGGATATAAGAGTAGGCTGTAGTGCCGCTGTCTGGGCAAAATTTCCCTCATAGCACATTGCATGGCGTATGCCCGTCTTCATTAGTGTTCAACCAGTGTTATGCGGATAAGAAAGTCCCACTAGTAGCACTGGTGGTATTAATGGTTGCAGTCATCTTCTTCTATGTTCATATACTCACATAACATTGACTGAGCACTGTCAAATAGAAGATGAAAGAGAGGAGCCAGCTAGGGGTTATAAAATGCCTGGATCTGGATATATTAGTATAGAAATTTATTACAGGGAGTATTGATTTATGGTTAATATTATATTTTGAAAATTTTTTCATCTCATTTTATGAGAAATAGTGAAATTTTATATTTTCTATATTTTTTTATTTTATGATAATTTTATGAGAAATGACGAAATTTGATGAAAATACAATGATTTTATATTGTATTGTCCCTGCCATTTAATGTTTACATTTGGTTTCTATTGATTTCACACCAACATCTTTATCTCTCTAAGGTAATACAATATTAAAAATTCAGCAATCCTTTTGTACAAGCCAGTTCATTTTCATGATGGTTTTGATGTACTTAATTACTTAACGATGCAGAAAAGTAACAACACAATAATCTTTACATTCAGGTATGTGATACCTTTAAAGTCATTACCAGTTGAAACATAAAAAGGAAAGGAATTTCTAGTTTAAATATAGATGATGCTTAGAACAACCACCTAGTTACCGGGTACATTAAAAAAAATCTGAAAGAATAGAAATAGTCTGCCCTACTTATCACTTAGTTCATTTTTTGTTCAGAATCAATACCATGGAGGTTATCTATTGTAGCATGAAAATGTGGAGAAAGTAATTAAAATACAGTTCCATAAAGTTATTACCAGGTAGAATTCTTCACATTTTACTAATCAATATTAAATATTATTAAAGTTGCTCAATCTCTTTGAGTTAGGTCATCAACAACTACAATGTCAATTTACTTAATTTTTATATCTTGATTTGTTTTGTGGCATGACAATCTGTCTATGTCTATTTTATATAGAGGACCACCTAATTTTCTGTGCTAACCATAAACATTATTCATAACACGATATGCTACATAACATAAAATGTATTTCTAGTCAAAGTCCATTAAAGGGAATGGAAGCTTATTGATCTTATTTCCTGAAGTGGAGGACGACTTTCGGTGACCTAATTCTGGACTTGGTTAACCATAACTAAAAATGTCTGACGTGCAAAATTTTGAAATAGCATCCCTGGTCTATAGATATAACCATTTTGGTATTCCATTACTTTTGATGCAAATAAGCCAAATTAAACTGAAATTGGCCATAAATCGACTTTCATTTCATATTTCGTAAACAAGACTTTATAATATAGAGATTGAAACATCACTTCTAAAAATAATACATCATCAAATCATACTCAATTCCTTATTTCGACCTATTTTAAAGAGATTTAATTCATTTTAGCTGGATTAAAACCGTTATGATCTGTTATTAATTCAGTGTACATAATAAAAACACTATTATTGTATTTAGACGAAAATGAAATACAAACATGAATAATTTTGTTCTGGATTTTGAGCTGATCACAACAGCAATTACAAACCGGGTCTATTTTAGATGAGATTACGAAACAACAAAGAATAGAAATTATATCTAATGATCTTGTTTTTCTCCCCTGGGTAACATCAGTATCTAATTGTCAATTAAATATGAATGAGTTGATCATCTATAGACAGTTTAATTGTGTTACATATACAGAGCTTGTGAAAACCACAATACTCACGAAACATTAAAGAAAATGTCAATGTGATTTCTACATTTTAACATTTTTTACAGCTCGTATAATCTTTCAGACAAATCATATTTGTTCATTTCAAGCACTAGAAACTAAAATACAAAATGTGTTAGTGATGTCATCCTTACTATTAGATCTTTCAAATGTCATCCTGAATATGGAAAATTTTCATGTTTTTAGTAAATCTGTCAAATTTGTTGATCAAGATTAAACATACATTATGCAGGTCTTTCTTTAGGATTGAAATGTTATCTAAATTATTAATTAGACATTAATTAACTTATCCAGACCATATCAACTCTCTATGGCATCACTAGTCTGCGATGTTTATTGGATTAGGTTCCAATTTGCTGTCCGACTTCCATTCATAATTAAATCATGAAATGGATAATCGAGACTATGTTTTTTATCCTACCGACTTTAGTAATGATGATAGAGGCTAGGCCGAAAATTCAATCGCTAAAATTACGGTTCATAGTGGATCAATTTGACTGAAATTTTCAGCTAGTGAGAACTGCCAGCTCTTCATCTAATCTCCCATAATGTATCTTTAAAGACTCTATGTGTCATTTTAATTCTAAAGAAATGAAATGGGGTTTATCGTCCTACTGTTCTGCTTAATCCTATAGAATTTCTTGTAGTAAACAACAATATTGTGAAAGAAGAAACTCTAATGGGATATCAGGGTTTCAATTCAGTTCAGTATTTACAAAGTTATGACAAATTGAAAATTCAATCAATCTTTGGTGCTGCCTATTAGTCCATGTGCCAGACCTGGGATTTTGGAACATCATTACCAATTTGATGAATAAATTCAACCATGATTTTCAGTTAGCCTGGTGGCTGAAGTGTTGAAATTTGGTTGATGGACTTCCGGGTTACTTTGCTAAATTGCATTTTGGCGGCCATCTTTAAAGATGGCCACCGTTATTTCATTGAAATTGAGCGCATCGGGGAAACCTTCATAACTCCTGTAAACTTAGTGAACTTTTAGCTAGTGTGTCACAATCGAAACGATATTTGGGGACGGGTTGTTTCCATGTCAAAATTTGTCCCTAAAGACAATTTTGAGATTATGTCACTTTTGTGACGTCATTTTCGGTTGGGGTTCTGTCCGATGTCCAAAATGACCGCAAGGGAGCTAAAGATGATCCGAACAATTATAGGCCAATCTCAATTCTCCCCACAATTTCAAAGATATTCGAAAGGCACTTGAGCACTCAAATTTAAACTTATTTGGAAACCTTCAATGTTCTTTATGCTTACCAATCTGGATTTAGATCAAATCATTCATGTGCTACTGCACCGATCCGAATGACAGATAATTGGCTTGATGCTATCGATAATGGTGCGATGAGTGGTATAGTGTATCTTGATTTTAGCAAAGCATTTGATCTCATTGATCATAAGCTTATTATTGAAAAACTACATCTTTATCGATTTGATAATAATTCACAAATTTTGATTGAATCATATCTTGACTCACGGAAGCAAAAAGTATGTTTAGGATCAATTACCTCCTCAATTACTACAGTCAAATGCGGGGTTCCACAAGGGTCGATCCTGGGTCCTCTCCTATTCCTTATTTTTATAAATGATCTCCCACTCAATATTGAATCAAGTCAGATAGATTTGTTTGCTGATGACAGTACCCTGCATTGTTCACACAAAGATATTTAATCCATCGCCAATAATCTCCAAAATTATCTCTATTTGGTTGCTAAATGATGTGAAAACAATGGGATGGTAATCAATCCTTCGAAAACAAAATCAATGCCGATTTCATCAAAACACAAAAGAAATCAGAAAAACCTAACTTTATCACTCCATGGTGAGAAAATTGAGACGGTTACTACCGCAAAATTACTTGGAATTCAAATTGACCAAGACCTTAATTGGGAAGCACAGATAGCAGATATGTCTAAAAAAACTTACATCAAAAATATTTCTCCTAAATAAGATAAAAGATCATTTACCTTACGAGACAGGAATTTTGTTTTATAACAGTTACATACTACCAATATTTGATTATTGCTCTATTATTTGGGGAAATGCTACCAAAAGTAGATTAGACATTCTTTTAAAATTACAAAAGAGGGCAGCAAGAACTATTCTTGATGCACCGATTGAAACTCCGTCCACCTCTTTATTTACTAAACTCGGTTGGCTTACCCTTACACAGAGGATTCTTTACAATAAAATTGTCTTAGCATTCAAAATTATTACATTTAATACTCCACTTTATCTAAATTTCTATTTTATTGAAAAATCTCTTGTTTCCAAAACGGATATCTTGCTCCGTTCACAGACCAGTAAATCTCTTTTTCTTCAAAATTGCAAAACG